TCATCATCATCATCCGACAGAGACAGACCCGCCAAGCACAAGCATCGCCGAGCCGCTCCGTCAACAGCCGTCACAAAACTCCGCGCTGCATCCGTTTTGCCAATCACGCCTTGGTGCCTCCACGGACGTGCGAATATCCATCTGCTGGCACGTGCCGCTTATTCTCTCCCCAATTGTCCGTCTCGCCGGAAGGAAATGAACAAGGAAAAAGAAAAAATATAAAAGAAAAAAAAAAGGAAAAAAGAAAATAGAAAAAAAAAAAAGGCCCCCAAAACTGATAGTACAGTAATACAAGGAAGGAATTTGATCGTATTATTCCCTCTTCTCCTCGCCGTCCCCTCCCTCCGAGAACCTGTCCCAGCTTCCACATTCGGCTGTGCTTGCCGCTGACGGCGTCGCTGAGACCTTGGCCGTTTGTCAGCTTTCAGGAAGAGAGAGAAAAAGAAAGTAGGAGGCCAATAATCGGGGAACAAAGATTGGCAGTGCTTGATGCTGAACCCAGAGATTTCTCTACGCTAAGCCAGTCTTTCATCAGCAAAAGTTGTCCAGAAGATATACTATAAATCGAACAAAGGCGAGTATGCATCATGGCCATGACGAAGCCCAGCCTCTTCCCCCCCCCAAGCCTGACGGATCCATTTATCTCAATGGCGGACAGGCCCGCTGCAGGCCGCGCAAATCGGGAATGGCGTCGTTTGCGCCACAACAGGTCGCCGGCGTGCAGCAGGTGGCACTAAATAACCTACAACGCGGATGTACTTTCAGGTCCTTCGTGCAAGAGCCTGATGGTGGTGGTGGTTGCCGTGCCTTTCCGCAGACCTAGTACCTTATGTAACTCAAAAGCCTCAAAGCCTTTCGCTCCTCTCCTCCAAGTCTGCTGCCTTCAAGTTCCAGGTTTTCAGTCCATTGCTGAGCAAAGAAAAAGCCGTATCTTGGGTAGATGAAAAGGCTTTGCCCCTGCTCGTAAGTACGTTCGTATCTCCTTGAGCCAAAAGTCGCCAGTCGACACTGCTCAAAGATAAAAAACGCCAGCCCCTCGACCGCCGATCCGGGCCGTTTCAACGCTCCTCCATCTTTTCCTCTGGCCTCCGATCCAGGATCCAGGGGCCCCTTCTCCATCTCTTCGCGGACGCCTCGCCCTGGCGCCGGTGCGGCATCTCTCGGTGTTCGGTGCATGGCGCGATGTCACTCGTCTTCACTGGTGTCTTCTGCCTACCTTAGCCAGTCCGGGACGGCGCACGATGAGTCCAGAATGGCTCTCCATTCCATACCTACCTTACCGAGTCTCCAGTACTGCTGCTACGGTAGCGACTAGCCCATCACTCCCTCACAGAGCACATTCCTGGTACTAGTAGTACTATGTAGTAGTATTGTGTATCGAAATGGCACATGCTGTACTAGTACTATTCGCATCGAGGTAATGGAAGAGAAGAGGGCCGCTTACTTGCGTCTGGCAATCGCCTGATGACATGCTATTTCGTCTCTGTTTCCGATTCGAGGCAGACCGAATGTCGCACAGGAAGGGGGGGGGGGGGGGATTTAAACTACCTACCCACTGGGTATGTGATACGATAGAGGTATTACCTAGTTCTCTGGGCACGGATTATTTCCCTCCCCCTCCTTCAGACGCAACCACTGCACGATTCATTCATCCTCCATCTCATCACATGTTTCAGTCGTTTTCCCAAAGATATCACAGACTCTCTTCCCTCGCTATACTAGTACTCTCTTTGATTCTCTCCCCTCGCTCCCCTTTGTCTCCTCTGTCCATCATGCCTCGCTTAGATATGACTGAATGACATCCTCCTACCTACACATCCAACAGCCCTCTGTGCTGCACGACTTAACAGCATGTAGGTAGTAGTAGTATACCGATTCCGCTTGCTGATGCATGCCTAGCGCGCAAGTCTATTGGAAATAACACTCTTCGTCTACCAATCGGCTATGACCATGACCATGACCATGACCACCCTCACCTCATCAATCCATCATATTGCCTGCAGTCTACTGCTTCTTTTAGGTAGGTCGTAGTACAGTAGCCGTACAGTAAGTAGCGCTTCTTCATGTACGCTCGCCCCTAATACATAGAACCGGCCGTTTATCAATTCTGCCGCGAGACCTTTGCTAGACAAGGTACAGTAGGTCGATGCATGACTTTACCCGTCTATGAAGATTTTTTTTCTCTCTCTCCATGGCTCTGAGAGTCATAACGTCTCGGTTTACTGTATGCTGTGCTTCTGTCTCTCTTGTTCTTGGGGGGGTTAATTCTCTTTCAGTTTTCGTCGTCCCCCTTCTCACGCCCCCATTCAAGTGATGGATGACCTCTGTATACTACTACTAGTACCTAGATTGTAATATCCCCTAACCCAACAGCACGGTCAAGCTAAGCATGGAGAAGATCAAGGCTAATTGTGAGACATACATGCACTAATTCAGAGGGAAAAAGAAAAAAGAAAAACAAGCTTGACAAGCGACACCCAACAACCACCTCGTGTGCACATACCGAGCGGCAGCGGCAACAGATGCTGCCTCGTTCGTGATGAGAATCTACTTGTACCTACCTACCTAGTCTACAATCACCCCTCCCCTGCCCCCTCTGGCCACCCTCCTCCTCCTCCTCCTCCTCGGACCCCCCTGGACAACATTCTATTGGGTCCCCGTGGTGACGGGACGACGACGGGTGACCAAGGCGATCTCGGCATAATCCGCCATGCCTGCCACATACATACATACATACATACAGCCCGCAACTCGTTGTACCGGCAAGGTATTTCGCTCACGACCAGAATTTGCTCCGGCATACCGTCGAGATTGAAAACACATACTATACTTTGTACTATACATACCTACTATACTTCACATTCATACCCTCATATGCTCTCTAAGAACATCGCCCACAGCGAACAGTGAATAGTACTACCGGCTTGTTACTGTTAGACTCCAGCATGGCTGGGGCCCTTCTTTTTTCCGCGTCAAGTCCGTCCGTACATAGGGGCCCCCAAATCCCATCAGATGATCTAGTATAGCCGGCGACTTAAGGCAACCAACTACTACTAGCCTTCTCGGCCTTGATATTACACGTCTCCACTGGGGTTTACATGGCGATAGCCGTCTGGCTTGCTTCTCTGTGCGCCTTTTTGCTCGGAGGAGATCCGGCCAGCGTTCAGTGGAACCTGGCTGTGTGTGATATCTTGACAAGTCATCGAGGAATCGAGAGACTAACAGGAAGAGCAAAACACTGGAAAAGAACTCGAGAGCCTGCCACACTGATCTGTAATCTATATAATGCCCACCAGCATGAGACCGCACCGAACATCTGCTCAAGTCGGGCAAACGTAAGCAAGCGTAGAGACGTGCAAGCTCAGCCTCCCTGCTTCCGGAATGATGAACTCTGATACAGAAACGTTTGAAAAATTAATTTGATCGAAACAAGAGGTCGTTTTTGCACGCAAGACATATGCGGAGTATCACCTACAGTACTGATACTCCCTGGGTAAGGCAATGCGATGTTGGTAAAAAAAGCGAGCCAAGTTGCTGGCGAATTCGACAGAGTCATTTTCTCAGGACTCATTCTCCCCGTCAGTACTCCTCCCCTCGTACGCCGGTTTGACTGGACCTACTATGACAGTATTTTCTTTTCTTTTCTTTTTTTTTTTTTTTTGTAAACACAAACCGTGTTGTAAGAGGCGTGAGCTGCCTTCTTTTGTGTTCCTGGCCCTTGTGCTGCTTTTGTTCGAAATTCTCCTCCTGCGCCATCTCCTCCTCTTGAGCGTGTACATACCCAGTATACCCATCCATCCACCTCCTCCGCACTCGCAATGAGAAGTCCCTGTCAGTAACTCCCCCCTCTTATCAGTCCAAATAGCTCCAGCAGACTAGGTTGTCATTTGTTATTACCTAGTACCTAGTATCAACAAAACAACCCGAGTCCTTTGCCGTAACCAACCGGATACAGATTTCCCTTGCCTTCGGGCCTTTCTCCCCTCCACCCAATCCACTCCTCCAAAATCGCCGGGACAAGGACCAGACTAAATAGAATAAAGGAAAAAAAAAATAAAAAAGAGAGAAGAGGCAAGCTTCACAAATGGACTTGACAAGGTGTCTATTGGCTCGCCTGAGCTAGCATGACCTCCTGTGCGACCAATATACGAGTAGCTTATGAGAGGCGAGCCAAAACCGTGGTTGAAATGGTGCCCGTTTTCTTGCTGCTTGGAGAGAGGGGGGTTTCCAGACGTTTTCTCCAAAAGGCTGGTTGTATGATCTGGGGTCGGATCACCTCGAACCAGAGCCAAAAGGGGGCGTGTGTCCAAAATTCGGGTATGGCTTATTCTACGATAGGAGTGGTATTTTGTAGGGAACCAAAGCACGGTAGGTTGTAGGTCTTCAAATCGCCCAGTTGGGTCGCCAACATACATGCAAGTCCTAGGGAAAGATATAGAACGCAGGTATATTTCTTGCCATGAGTATAAAATGAGAATCTGTACACCGAAAAAATATGAGAGAAAGATTTGCGAGCATTGTGAAATCGACTGCGTCCCCAATGGAAACGGACCTCCGTGATCGCACAATACATTGGCGCGTAGTCTCTCAGTTTGCATCACCCGGCTCCAGATACAACGTATCTCCATGTTGCAGTAGCACCTTCAGTACGTCTTCGCAATATTCGATGGAGTTGCTGGTGGTGGTGATACTCCGTGCTTCGTGGTAGAGAGTAACAGTCGATGGCTCGCTGCTAAACCACTTCGTCTGGCGTCTCAACGCGTTCCTGTTTCCATGAACCAGGAGCGCGCATTGTATCCAACCACCTGACAAACGCGTACTAGGTAGTCGTAGTACCCAGGAACCTTGTATCAGCGCGCAAGTGTGCTTGCGAGAGACAAAGAACCCTGGATGCACTGCGTCGAACGAGCTGCTCCTCGTCGACCATTCTGCTAGTACAAGCCACCACTTGTCAGGATGACATTCGACACCTTTAGCGGTCAATCGCCTTCTGCGTCACGCTAGAAGCCCTCCTTTGACAGGAAGTGGCTTCGAATGGCCTTGACTCTATGCGGAGGGATTGCGTAGACGGGATGGGTGGTCGCAATGCGGTCCTCTTCATCGAAAATCTGGACACCGCCCGTGTGAGGTGACGCCTCCCAGCGATCGTCCCCCAGGAGGGTCTCATCGGCACGAGAGGCAACAAAACGCCACTTGGTCTGCGCGGAACTGAGGCCGGACAGAACGTAGCAGGAGTGGTACGCGTCAGAGTATCTGTCTAGATATCAGTGAATTGTCCTTGAGGACTTTCCCCCTACGAGCGAGCACCTACTTGCTGGGTTTGTCCCTCAAGCCACCTCTCTTGGACATGTCTTGACAGCAGCAGAGGATGTACCGGATGAGTCCATTCCTGCTAAACAGGCTGTCGTCTTCCTCCGTGGCTTCAAGCGGCTGGCTTGAAGGGCTAGCAGTCGGACCGCTCAGACTGGCCTCGATCAGGGGCCAACATCCGCCGACCCAGTGGCTATAACAGCCGTCGACAAGCTTGTTTGTGCGGCCTGAAAAGCCACCCTCTGGGGCATACTGGCGAGATGAGAGCCAGGAGATGAGGCGTGGCATATCCATATACCTACCATGAAGAAATTGGGTCAGAACGCAGTGCTTGGCAACAAAGCGAGCAGCCTGGGAGCGAAAAACTTACTTTCGAACGCTTCGGTGCGGTGAATCAATGATGGACAGGCATCCCAGAGCGCAGAATGCATATGCGCCGTGTGCTTCAACACCGTGCTTTGCCGACACACCTCCCTCATACGTCTGGCCTGAAATGCGTCGTTTTGTTAGAGAGGATGAGAGAAAGAAAGAATGGCGATCAAGACAGAGATCGGCCAACGACCGAGAGAGACAACTTACACAGTCGCACCCATTCGCCTAGTCCGCTCAGAAGATCGGTATGGCCGCCGGCACGAGCGGGAGACTCAGGTGACAGATTCAAGGGCAGGTTGAGTAGTGAAATCACAACAGACGCACAGTAAGCACCCCTTGAGCGAGACGTCAGTTGGAAAGCCCTGACATCACAGCGTGGGCGTGTGAGAGCTCAGAAACATACCTAACATCTTCCTCACCCCCAACGGCCATTTGAAACCCGCCGTCTGGCTGCTTGAGCTGGCACAACCACTTCCACATGCTCCTCCTGTCGACCACGTCGTAGGCCTCCTCCCCGCCGACCAACGCTAGCGAAAGAACAACCGCGTATGTGGTGGCGAGGTGCGATGCCTGGCCGAAACCGCCTCCAAACCCTCCGGTCGGGTTCTGTATGGAGCGCACCGTCTCGACGAGCCTGGCGCGATAAGGCTCGACGTCCTCACCAAGGAGAGACAAGGCGTTGAGGCACCAGTAGAATATCCAGGGGCGGCTTGGATCCGCCCCCACGTACGCGCCCGGCAGCGCGCCCAGCTGCTTCCGCAAGAATCTTGCGTGCCGTTCCCTGTCCAGGCGCGGGACGCCGTGGGCGTTGACCTTGTCGTGCTCCAGGCCGCTCAGGAAGGGCAGACACTCGTCGACAGTCTCGTCCTGGAGGTGCGATGAGTCCGTCTCCAGCTCGTCGCGGATCACGGGCGGCTGCGTGAAGAGGCTGGGGATGGACGGCCCAGCCGCATGTGCCGGGCCCGGCTGCTGTCCCACGGCTGCTGCGGCCATGTTGGCGTTGTTTCTCAGTTGATGCTTGAAGAGTACTCGAGGACGGCTGCGGAAAGGTGCTCGAGATTTCATCATGCGGAACTTCAGGGTCTGGTCATCCTTTTCAGCTGGACAAGGACAGGCAAATGTCAGTTTCAGACCCCGCTCATCCTCCCACCTTTGCTGGCGCTTGGAGCTACCGATTGACAAGCTGCCTCGGGAAAAGGCACCCGACGCTCTCGGCTCTCACGGTAGCAGATGGTAGTACTAGACGGACAGCTTCAGCTTCAGGCCCGGACGAGCAACAGAACAATGGGAAGACGAGGTCGAGGCCGTTGGCATTGTTGCCGGCAATATCCCGGGTAGCGAAATAGCGCGGCCCCTCTCCCCTCACACGCCCACTTTGACCGCTCTCTCTGTTAGATGCTGGTAGCGACTTGTTCTGGGAGCTTACATGTAACCTCCTCGCTCGGCCACGGCTGAGGACCAACGCTCAAGAGCGGACAAGATCCTGGTGAGGCTGAGACCAAAGGATCGGAGCAGATGTGACGCCTCGGGGCAACAGCAACATTGTCAGTTGCGCCATCACCACCCCGGTGAGAGTCGCCGCATGTGGCTCCCTCTCCCTCACCAGCTGAATGCTTGGAGGCATGGCTTGAATCTACATTCGTTGGATGCCTTGTGGCTTTAGCATTCGAAGCTTAACGTTAGTGGCGACTGATTGAATGCCATTCAATGAGATTTGCTTTGAACGGTTTGCGACATGGCTGGGGTTAGAACCGTTGCTAGAAGATTAAGATCTATTCTCTTCGCGTTCCGGTTGCGCCTCATCATGCATGGCTCGCTCATATTCTTCCCATTCGAGACGAAGTTGACATGTACTGAAAAGCTCGCTTGTAGTGTCTGTGAGCGTCTATCAAATACATGAGGAGCAACCCTCAATTTGATTCAAGGATCGAAACCGGCGAGTGGTGATGACTACACTTCTGACACTCGATCAATGGTCATCTGGGTGGGTGTATATCCCTGTTGCGAGTAAAGCCAGTCGACGTACATTCAGCCCTCTTGTCAAGGGAGAACCGGACGGCTGGAAAGTTAGCAACTTGATGCCTGTCCTTGATGTCTGCTACTAGCTGCCAGGCACTCAACGAGGATCATGATCTTACAAACCGCCGGCGGAATACTATCCTGGCCATGGAAGCTGCATATCCTGGTGGTGATACTGTAGTTGATGCTACTTTTCCTTCTAGAAGACTTTGCAACCCTGGAAGTCAGCCCATCGTCCGCCGACAAGCTGATCGTCTCTCCACACTAATAAGAATGGCATGGACTGTGGCTCATCAGTGGCCGGACTCATCCGGATTTCCACATTGCTCTGTGCGATGAGGCAGCAAAACGATATTCCCGTTGCCGAGTCGCACGATGACGGATAACAGGGAACAAGCCCGTTTCGAGTCATGATGCTTGTGGGGCCAGTCAAACCTCGAGGGCTGTCGATGTCAGGAATCAGAATGCCAGGAGGCGATGCGGCCGGTAATTGTAATAGTACTAGCAGGACTGGACGTCGACCGAGAAAGACCACGAGCTCGCCCAAGTGAACTGAGAGCAAGGGTTGACAAGTACTAGTATACCGGACCTTCCCAGAATTGATACTCCGATTAGTTGTAATGGGATGACATTCATGTGAAAAACGTCATGAACAACTGCAGCTTCGGGTTGTCAAGCTCTGATCAAGACCCGATAAGTGGCATCGGAATGTGCGTTGGCCTGGAAAAGCTGTCATGGGACAAGCATCAGCATCCCTGCCAACAAATCTTCACATGTTGCTTCTTCCGACCACGATATGATGGAAAAAGTCCCTTGACCCATCAAATAGCCCGGTGGCAACATCACCAGGGGACAAAGAAAAACCCTTTGTCAAAAGATATGGATCAACCGAGCGTCCTATCAGTTCTCCTTTTGGTGAGTCGGAGTCGAACGCGCTTCAACAAGCTTGATACGCCTATCACCAGCCGCACAGGGTTCGAGACCTGTCGTCTGTGCAGGGACCCCCCAGTCGGCTCCTGGGCGGGCTTCTCCATCGCCCTCTCTCTCAATTCTCCCAGATCTTCAGAGTGGGTAATGTGATCTTGTGTCTCAGACTGCCGAGGGCAGAATGTAACACTCACTCATCATCAGCCTGAGGCGGGGTTAGGCCGGGACACGTTCGCGCCGAGGACTGCTTTTAGAGTCTTCTGCTGGCTAGTCTGGTACCATTAACAGGGCCCTTTCTGAAGCATCGCAGAGGGTCCGTTTCTCATCCATGTCTCTATCGCCCAGCGAAGAAGGGTTATGGCGTTGGCGTTGGCGCTCTAACCCTGCCGACTCCGGTGGCTGGCGATGGGTCCTCGCCTCCCCAGGGAGGGGGAGACCCTGTTAGTAGGCGCAGGGCATCGTAGCAAAAAATAGGACGAGATCGTGCGCTCCAGTCTGGCCAAGAACAGCACGTTTGTTTGAAGAGGCGCTGCAGCTAGTGGCAGCAAGGGAAAACAGAGGCAGGGCAGGGCAGGGCATCGCATCGTGCAAACGCTGTTGCAGGGGGCCATAGTGGTTGGGCAGCGGAGCGTTTGCGGGCAAGTCGAGTGGCGAGGGAGCAAGATTCTGGTAGGAAAAGTCAGGCGAGGAGCGGCAGAAACGCGGCATTGTTGGAGCCATATCGTATGCGAATGCATGACAACTGCCAGCACTAGAACAGACGCGCGCCGCGCGTGTTGTTCGTGTACGAGTCCTTGGATGGAGCACCATCGGCAACGGCGTTACGGAGTTCTATGTCGAATGAGTTGATTGTCGGCCAGCGGGTCCAGTTGGCGAGGCTCCTCGTGCAATATGGTGTCAGAACAAGCATTCGATATTACTCGTAGTCCTGTGCTTGTTGCTTGTCAGCATATTGTAGCGGTAATATTATCACAATGAAGACTGATCCAGCATGGCTGCTGACTGGACATTGCAACGACGCGGCCGTCACCGAGGCACATGTGCATTCGTTTGTACAAGTAATAAGCAGCTGTCGACCAAGTACGAGTACTTGCATTTCGGCGGCTCACGCGCTGCTGGACGTGTATTATCCGTTGGGCATATACTCGGTCGAATAGGTCTTGCTGCCTGCATCGTCACGCCGGCAAAGAAGGACAGACGACGCAGATGACGACGGTATCTGCCCGAAGGCCAGCATCCAATACCTACGTCAAACGCTCCCCTTGTCTCTGCATCAAGTTTCCGAGTCCCTGCTTTGCTGTGCAATGGTCCGGCCAATGTCCACCAAAGGGTTAGCCGGATGCAGGAATTGAGACCAAGCACTCTGTACATACTGTAATAAGGGCACATGGAACTCCCGCATGCATATCTCAATGATGATCGATCACCAAAGTACGTGAATACCGATCTAGCTGGATTCTGCTTGGGCTCACCTTGTTGCTGCAAGCCTCGCCACAGCCAAAAATGAGATCTATGCATGTCTCGAACTCAACTTTGCCTAGGCGTGGTGTAGCTGGCCTAGGCCTCAGGCAAAGGGAGGCGAGTCTGGAGGAGGAGGAGGGGGGAAGAGGTTTGGCTCAGACTAATGACCATGTACGAATATGTACGGGTACGTGTAATATCTCACGACGTTCGTGTGCCACAGGGCGGAGAGTCTCGGCAGGCTGCTCCTCGTGCATGTATGAGGACACACGATTTTGCAAAGGTGATGTCGTTGGCATACCTACCCGACTGGTTCACGGCTGACGCGAGCGCCGTGGCAAGCCCATCTTTGTCCGAATGATGGTGGCACGACTTCGCGTACGTTACTTGGCACAGCACTTGGCTCTCGATTCGTACCACTCGGACTCCGCGTACGAGTAGCAGAGCAGCAGATCTCCAGCATCGGGTCTGGCCTTGGTCGGTGATAAGGGTCTAGCTGGAGTCTTAGCTGCTCTGGTGTGCACGCCACAAATTGACAGCGCATCAAGCCTCTGCCGCGCTCGACCAGGCAATGCATCAGCGGCGACGGGGCCAGCGAGTGGGAGGATGGCATGTGTACGAGGGGATCCCGGGACTCTGGGGACGGATGGGGCGGCTAAGCAGGGAAGCCGGCTGTTCTCAGTTCTTGATTCCTTGTGTTCTTTGCTGATCCATGGCGCGATGCTATTGGATCCTCAGTCAGTGCTTGTACTCGTAGTAGTAGTATCATGCTTGGTCGACAGGCAAGGCCGGGGCATCTCCCTGTCCAGAAGCCCAAAAGAATCTGCTGCGAAGCCAGAAGACGCCGTTTCGTATCCACTGGCCTGGCAGTCTCTCGCGCTCCCTCTCTCACATCTCTCTTTCTCTGTTGCTTTGAGTTTTTCCTTGCCGTTCCGATGGCCCTTGCTGCAATGGAACCTTGACAGGGGGCCGTGATGGAGGAGAAGAAAAAGAAGAAGTAGAAGAAGCTGGAGCTTGATGTGGCTCGCTCGAATCGCGTAGAGCCGGTTGGGCCACGGGGGCGATATACGATGCGCTGTTCAGAGCATGTACATACCTACGTACGTATGGTATGTACGAGCATGTAGGTCTGAAGCAACCCTCGTATGGACGTATCATCGCATGTATTTGGACGGAGCGCATGTGCAGCATGAGGCGTTTGTTCGGATGTGGAAACGTGCCAGCAGACGTGGCAGCCCAGATCTGGCCGCACGCCAGAGACGACGGGCTCCGGAATGGAACGCCGTTCCTTGGTGTCTGCGTCTCTGCACGAGTACGTACTATGTGCGTGTACGTACATGACGATAGTAGAACTCGTACAGTATGTACTGAGGGAGAGTCATGATGCAGGGCGTCGCTCCGTTTTTCCGCGCCCAGAAACGATGCTACTGCAGCGCTTCTTTGCGGCCGTGATGGCTTCAGTCGTCGTCGTCGCGCGAGTCGAAGGGAACGGGATCCCCGCTAGATTAGGTTAGGCGGGCAGCTCGGACTTGCGTTTACTAGCACCAGCACCAGCACCAGCGCCAGCAGCAGTACATACATGTACA